TGAATAATTCCTTGAGCATCATTTGACAATGCTTCCTGAAACAGGAATAGATGGCATGTAAATATTTCATAGATGCTATTGTATTCATGAAAAGCACGTCAAACTATACAACTAGACATGCAAAGGAAAATGTGTACTTAGATTCACACTGAAAAATGTGGAAGTGCTTTACCCTGAAGTGGGAAAAGCTAATGAAATGTTTTTCTTGTCAAAACAGAAGAAATTTACTGAACAGGATCTATAGAAACCTAACATTTTCTCCAAGCATGTGTATTTATATCATGGAAATTTGTGTTTTCTTTGCCTAGAGCAATGGAGCACAACCCTGGTAGCTGGATACATGCAGTGCAATATTACAGGCATCAAATACAACTAATAAATGCATTTAATGTTCAACTCTAAGATTTAGCTGAAAACACTGAGATATATAAAGAACAGTGTACATTTACTGCACAGTTACTACATTGGATGGCTCCAATATCAACCCGCTAATAAAGGCCTATGTGAGCTGTACTGGAGATTGTCCAACATTCCTCATCCTTCAAGGGCCGGCTCTGCAGGAGCGTACATGGAAAGAAGACAGTCAAACAGAACTGATGGTCCAGTAGTTACAGTGTTCATTTGAGATTCAGGTTAGCCCTGGGTTCCATTCCTGCCTTTGCCACAGACTTCCTGTGTGGCCTTGTGGCAAGTCCTTTAGCCCCGGACCCTATGCAATGTTTACATGCTTAACTCCCACCAATTTCAATGGAAATTTGATGCCACAATACCTTTGAGGTTCTGGACCTTAGTCTATCAGGTTCAATTTCCCATCTTTAATAAGGGGATAATGCCATTGTCATATCCCACAGGTGTGAATAGAACATATTACAGATTGTGAGGCACTCAGATACTATCATAACAAGGGCCATATTGGTACCTTGATTACAGGGTATACATATGAGAGAGAGAGAGAGAGAGAGGCAGGCAAAACGCACGCAACATTTAATTCTTTTTGTATATTCTGGGCAAGATCCCTGTTTATCTAGAGGCCTCTTTACTTCATTGAGGCAGTATAAAGGAGGCTTAAAGGGCATGGTGTGAAAATCAAATAGAATTTGAAAAATCTACACATACACACAGGTGTGGAAAATAAAGCACAATATAAAGGGCCTGATTCTTCTATCATTCAAACCTGTGTCCACCAGAACAATTAAGCAGGACGTGAGTAAGTGTTTACACTAATCTACATTAGGAATGACTCAGTCTAACTCAATGATCTGGGGCTATTGTAATGCCAAGTGCTGGTAAGAAGAACCTAACTCAGGGGTTGTAAACTGGGGGTACACTGGGGGTACACATACTCCCAAGAGTACCTAGAAAGAATGCAGGGGGTGCACCCAGGTGGGCGGGCAGGCGGGCATGGAGTGCACCCTGGGGGTGTGGCAGTGGCGGCATCTCCCCCGGCACCTTCCTATACTTTGCACGAGAGCAAGAGGAGTGTGCTGGGCACCACTGGCCCTACACAGCACACTGCAGCACCTTCCTGTCCCCTATCTCATCTCGCTCCCAGAAGCAGGGCTATAGGGATGAGAGCAGCAGTGCCTCTCTGTGGGCTGCACATGCACCGCCTGGCCAGCCGGGGGGGGGGAGAACTCGCACACGGTGGCCGCCACCGCTACCACCCAATGCTGCCACCACTGCACACCACACCACTGTCCCATGGCTGGTTGCATGTGCAGCTCCGTGGGCTGCTGACATGCTTCACACCTCACACACCGCCTGTCAGCAGCCCTCAGAGCCACATGTGTGATTTGCCACGAGAAAGTGGCACAGGGCCCGGCAGTGGCAGCATGGGATGGTGGCAGCCACTATGCGCGAGTCCTTGCTCCCCCCCACCGGCTGACTGGCCAGGTGGTGCATGTGCGGCCCACAGAGGGGCCCTCACCTACCTGGCCCGGGTCCTGGGAGCGGGCACAGAGACACACTCACTCCCCTTCTCAATCTGCCCCACCCAGGCCCTTCCCTCTTCCCTGCCCCTTTTCCCCACATACACTTACCTGCTGGATGTATGTGTGTGTCTGCATCTCCGTGTGTCTGTATCTGTGCCTGCATGTGTGTGCCTGTGCCTTTGTGTGTGTGTGTTTCTTCCCTGCCTGCCCAGCTGCAGCAGGCACATGGCATTGTGCAGGTCTTGTGGCAGCGGGGTGCAAAGTCCAGCCTGCAGCAACAGCTGCCTCCACCCCATGCACAGATCTGGGGGGCATGTGTCCCTCAGACCTCCACCGGGATGTGCGCAGTTGCAGGAAGTC